TTTTTATCTTGAGATGATTAAATTTGCTAATTATTTTCTCAATATAGTAGGTTTGGTTTAAAGAATAACACCCACTATGTTTTTTTCACTTTAATACCCAAAATGGTATCAACTTCTCCAAGATCTTTCATCTTGAAGGTTAATGATAAAAACCTCTTCGTTTCCATTATTCCTCTCATGTCATCACTTAAGATTAACATGTCATCCACATATAAACACACTATGACTATATAGTCATCACAATATTTAGAGTATAAACACTTGTCAGCGTTATTATGTCTAAATCCATATGGAATAATAACATTATCAAATTTTTCATGCCATTGTTTAGGAGCTTGCTTTAAATCATATAATGATTTAACAAGCCTACACACTTTATGTTCATTTCCCGGTAGAACAAAACCTTATGGTTGTTCCATATAGACCTCCTCATTGAGATCTTCATTCAAGATTGCCGTTTTGACATCCATGTGATGAACAAATAGATTATGAATTGATGTCAAAACAAACAATATCCTAATCGAAGTTGTTCTTGCCAATGGAACATATGTATCGAAATAATCAATACCTTCTTTTTGTTTAAATCCTTTAGCTACTAATCTAGCTTTAAAGGTTTGAATACTCCCATCGGTATTGTATTTCTCACGAAACACCCACTTGCAACCAATTGGTTTAGATCCTGCTGGAAGATCTACCAATTCCCATGTTTGATTAGATACAATAGAATCCATTTCATCATTGATTGCCTCTTTCCAAAAAACGGCATCTCTCTAATCAATGGCTTCTTTGTATATTTTGGGATCCTCCTCCACTTGAAGTATTATAGGAATTTTCTTAATAATATCTTCTCTATTTCCCTCTACTAAATAAAAGGAAATTCTTTGAGAATCAATCTCATCCGATCCCAACAATTTTTCTTTTATTTGTCTTTGACTTTTTCTCACCGGCACCAAAGGGTTCTCAACAACCGTCATTGGTCAATTTTCTTGAGACTCTTCAAGATTAGTAGATTCTTGAGAACTACTCAATAAATTCTCAAAGAATTCCACATCTTTTGATTCAATTATCACATTAGATTCCAAATCTAATAGCCTATATGCTTTGCTATTTGTGGCATAGCCAACAAATGCACACTTTATGGCTCTCGAACCCAATTTTCTTTTGTTTAGGTCTGTTTTCTTGCAATATGCAAGACACCCCCCACACTTTGAAGTAACCTATATTAAGTTTTCTTCCTTTCCATAGCTCATATGGAGATTTTTCAATTTTCTTCATAGGAATTCGATTCAAAATATGACACGCAGTCAACAATGCTTCACCCCACAACTCAAAATTTAATTTAGCATGCAATAACATAACATTCACCATTTCTAGAAATGTTCGATTCTTTCTCTCTGCTACACCATTATGCTGTGGAGTATATGGTATTGTACATTCATGAATAATGCCATTTTCTTCACAAAATAAATTAAATTCATTTGAGA